TCGGCATTTGCATGCTTTACTACGTGCACTTTGTCAAGTCGAGTATGTTTTGATTCTTTATTTGAAAATTACAAATTTGTGTAAAATCGCTCAACTCTCCAAGTTTGAAAACCTGTTACTAGGCGATAACATTTGTAGAGTATTTTAAGGTGGCGCTGCATGTGGAAACCAAACCGTGATAGTAACTATTGGTTACGTGATCATGTCAATCATAACAAATTCTGTTTTGATATAAACTGGACAAACAGTACAACGCTGAACATTTGATTTGTCGTGTTTTCCTAAATCGCATTTCAGTACTAAGTTCACCCGAAAGTCTCGTTTCAATTTATGATGTGAATTATCTATTGAAGAGAAATGCGGTTGCTAAAAACAATGACTGGTCGTGAACAATTGCTTCATTTTAGCCATCAAACTTTATGTTCTCGGAGAATTATTTCTTCTTGTCAAATCTTAGCATTTTCTTAGAGACGAAATTAAAGACGTTTCTTGATTGATTCTTCGAACAGCAGTCAAATAGACCTGAACATTTATTTGCCGTTTAGAAAGGTCACGGTGGTTAATTCATGTGATGTGAATTTTGTATGTTAAAAAGGCAATTTCCTTGCTCAAAATTCATTAATGACCCAACTGATCTGAAAATGCTGCAGCTTGAAGTTAATTAAAAGTGGTCAATGAAACTATTTCTATCGTTCTTTTATTATCTGAAATTTTGAAACACTTAAAAGATTTGTTTGCATATCTGAATTTGTTCGACACTTTATTCAAGTATTTAAATTTGAAACATTTGTTGACACGATCACAACAAATTATTTCACGCTTTCTTCGTTGTTTCGATCGGGTTTCTTTTCTTTTTTTTTCATTTAATTCGCTTTAGTAAAAAGTGCAAACATTTTTTGACGTTTGTTGTGGATTGACATGCAGAGCCACCTTGAACATAAATAATTTTAGAAGAGGATATTGGGTTTCTGGATTGATCTTCGTATCCTGAAAATACAACATTTATCGGCAGATATTCTTTGTTTTATTTATTTATTTATTTACTTATTTTCAAGAAGAGATATTCTTTGATTCATTTCTGTACGGAAAACGTTCGGTTGGTATTTTGTTTTTTGTTTTTGTTTTTTTGTTTTTTCTCGGAGGGGAAATAAGCGCAAAGAGGTCCACCAGAAACCAAATATATCCTCTTGTTTAACTTCCAGCGAGGCTGTAATGAATTATATCTGGTATCAAGCAACTCTTTGCAAAACTGTAGGTCTAATTGTCTGATTTTTCAAATTGTTTTGGCTTTCATTTGTACTATCTGAAATATTGAGTTTTAGAAATGTAGCTTCAATTGTCTGAATATTCTAAAATGCTAAAGCTACTATTTGCACTGATAAACATTTTTACCGAAAATGTTCACGAATAGATCTGTTTACAAAAATTTGTAGTCCCGATTGTTTGATTGTTCTAAAATGGTATTGCTTTTGTCTGCAACCGACAGATAGACAGAATTCACCATTGCATCTCTGATTTTCAAAACTTGGCTCCAACTGTCCAATTCTTTGAAAATTTTATCGCTTTCATTTTTTCTGATTCACTTTACATTTCTTACTAAAGAACGTAA